TTTTTTTTTCCTTCCTGCGAATTCCCTTTTGTATTACCTGTCTTTTTTAATTATGCAGCAAAACCCTGGCAGATGTGTCATGTATATAAAAAGATGGGTCAAGTGCAGACTGTAAGTCAATACAGCTATTGGCTAAAGGCTACAGCACCGCTCCCGATGTATTGATCTGCGGTGCTGCACAGGGATTCAGCAGAATGTTTGACTGTAAATCCATACACATCTATCCCCAAACTCCATTCAACCCCAGCCTGCCCTCCTCCTCCACCCACTTCTCCTTCTCCTTCACCTGCTTCTCTGCCCCACTCTTTGTGGACCTGTTGAGAGCAAAGGAGGGCCCGGTGGGAACGGGATGACAGGACAGTCTTTTTTTTTTTTTTATTCCTTAAAATAGCAAACATTTATGCTGACACAAGCACTACTCTTATGGAGAATAATCCCATTATAACTTTCAAACATTAAAACAAAGCCTTCTGACATTGCTGTCTAAACCACTCGCAGGGAAATGAGCTGTGAGGAGTTGCTTAAAAAAAAAAAAGAATGTACAGAAGCTGTTTCCACATCCTAAAAGTTCCAGTCTGTGTTTGAGTCAGATTCTCCTGTTATGAGCTCAGTATACACCGGTCTGTCATAGACCGAGGCTCGCGTGAGGCATTGCCAGAGCTGATGGGAGTTCAGGGACTAAAAGGCAGCTACATTTAGAAACTAATTAAAATCAGTAAAATAAAACAAACGATCCTGGTGGTATGAAAGCAGAAAATCTCAACCCTTGTCACAAACTCTTGTTTTAACAGCACCAGATTGTTTGTTTTGTGAAACGAACAAGGTTATTAGATTGTCAACTCTCTAACTCTCCGGGGTACAAACCTTCCATTTTATTTTTCAAATGACTGTCTCGGTTGCAGGCGTTTCACTCACAAAGGAAGACGTGTTTATTTTATGAAGTTGAGTGAAGTTGCAGATAACTGTTAAATAAGTGAGTGATGACTTAATTTTGTATTATTTAATGAACTGGAAACTGCCAAATTGACAGAGTCTGGAGACATCTCAGATTGTCTCCAGACTCTGGAGACTTGGTACCGTCCACAGACGACTTTCTGTTAGCCAGCCTGGATTTTTTTTGTTTAATTATCATGTTAAATGGTAGAGATAAGGAATATTATGTTACCGACTTTTCAGCTTATTCCTTGTCTTCAGCAGTCAGTCAGCTACTGTACACATAGTGTTTACATGTAAAAGCTTGAATAGTGTTAAAGGGACATTGCTCTTTCTGATATACAGCAAGTGGATTTTTAAGCTTAAAAGCTTCTGGTAAACCTCAAAAATATCCCCTCAGTGTGTGTCTGTGTGTGTGTGTCCGTGTGTGTGTGTGTGCTCTCCCCTCATGGTTTTACCGGATTAGACTTTAAACACTTTAATATATACCTGAGTGAGTGAAAACAAGTATTCAATGACATCGGATCACATTTTTGACGCTGTTAAGTTGCCACGAATGACTGTTATTCTAAATGACACAGCTGTAGTCCTGTTTTTAAGATGCCACAATTAATGCCACCGAAGCTAGTTACCATGGCAGCCAGTTCATCTCAGCTGAATCAGTGTCTCATATCTCTCTCTCTCTCTCTCTCTCTCTCTCTCTCTCTCCTTTTCTCTTTCTCACCCTCTCTTACTCTCCCTTCCTTTCTTCACCCAAAATGAATATTCAGCCAGAATCGATGAAAAGCTCTACACCCGGAGTCACTGACA